CAGCGCAAGGGGTTTGGGGCTGATTTTCTTATGAGAGAGAGAGAGAGAACGGTGGTTTTGGGGTTCTTATGAGAGAGAGAGAACGGTGGTTAGGGGGTTTCTGGATTTATTTCCTCTTTTTTTGCGAAAATAAATGGAGGGAAATTTCCCTCCCTCACCGTTTTGGTAAATCACCTTTGTCCCAACGGTTTAAACCGTTGGAGCTAGTAAAAACTATCCCAACGGTTCTATACACCTGTTGGGGCTGAGCTTCCTTTTACTAGTGTCTACAATTTTTTAACCTATGAACTATGAGAAATCACAGAGCAGGAACATTCTTAAACACTACCTTTTTCAATATCAATAGCAAAAGATAACTGGACGATTGAATAAACTAAAACTATGATGCTAAGGATAATACTTGGCAATTATCAGAATGTACATGTTCATGTCCATGCTTCTTGGCTTGAACATTTATATTCAAATTTCAGATATTATGCACTGCGAGTATTGATCAAAACTTAAATTCCATACCGTGATGCCTCAAGTGGCAATAAAACTATCACTAGAATTATTGAGGGTGCATGAAAATTGATTCCATAGAATTATCACTTGAAGCTTTCTCTTGATGGATCAAGTGTTTGAGTGGGTTTTATTACCTGATTTTTTATGGATCTTGTGTGCTCCTCGAAAAGCAAGCACTATCACAATCTGCTGTGCGCCTTAAATCTCCTCGAAAAGCAACCACTATCACAATATGTCATTCGAAGCCGAGGATCCTGTTGTGGGAGTGAGAAGCGAGCGCCCGTACCACCAGCAATGGTCCAAAACCAAGCCCTTGCCCCTTCAATTAAACCGCAACCCTCAGTTTTTCATTGGGTGTTGAGGTTGCCAATGTATAGCTGATCATAACCAAATTGGCGAGCAAAGCGGCAAGGTAAATAGGGTTCTAGAACACAAAGGGTGCCAACACGATAAATGAGGTATCCTGGCGAATGTTCAAAAGCCACGTGAAACAACCAAAGGACATGGTAGTATAACCTTGACCTTTGGATTCATCTCCTACCATAGCTAGTGTCTGGAAAATGAGGGAAACATCGGTTGAACTCAAAGCTCTTGTGGTCCCGAAGCGTATGTCTCATTGACACCATGTAGTGCTTACTCCAATCCGAGTGTTCCAGTCTCTGAATGAAAGGAGTAAGTTGACCATCTACACGAGCAGAAGGTGCACTCATAAGCATAAGACAATGCATGACAAACCACGCCATGAGATAGGCGTAAGGCAGCTCTACCTTTGGATTCTCAACATCATCACAAAAGCTGTAGCATAAACGCCGCAATCCCCAATGGATGCGAGCGATCATGGCAGGTAGGGGAGCGTAAGAACGGCCGTGCGCCAAACAAACGGCCGGGAATATCACTTCTTTTGCCAAACAATCAAAACTACCGGCAGGTACAACGATATGTGTTAGCCAGAGTACCAGGTATCCTGCTAATACAGCCTTAGTTGAAATCAGATATCCACTTTGATGAAAGTAACTTTTCGAATGCTAAGCCCGCAGCGTAACCGTGTTCATCTGAAGGCGTTATATATTTTCTTTGAGGATGAGAGAGGATGTGATCTACAATTTCGTTCGCCTCACAAGGACCCAAAGGCACTACCGGATCTTTTTTCCGATCTAAATTCTTGAAGAGGTAGCGTGCCCAAGTGACATGGCTAATGGACTTGTCACCCTTCTTCTCGATGCGTCCCTCCATCTCCAAGCAAATATGGTAATGACGCATTACCTTCCAATAAGTTTCGACCACCTGGGGGTAATCTTTCTCGAGGTCAGACAGTTCTTTATACCCTAGAACATATTCTTCATAGGGATATCTACCATATGGTAAGCTCGAAACTTCAGCCATTTCGTGAAGAGTGATTCCTAATTCCCCATTCGGAGTGAAGAAAGTGTGCGTATCACAATTATACAATTCTAAAATGCTAAAAATTTGGTGAGAATTGTTCTTCAACCCAGGCCGCGTTGCTCTGATAGGTGCATAGAGGTCAAACCTTCGCAGATCTCCTTGATACTCTTGCAAGATATACTCGGTGATGCGAGGCCACCATTGTGTAGGTCTCCAACAAGACCAGCCAAGAGTCCTAAAATCCTTAGCATAGAATTGCCCCTTAACTTTGTAGAAGGCGCGACCAAAGGTGTTTGCCTCTTCGGTTGTTTCTCCGACTGGTAAGTCTATTTGGAATAGGCCTGGATGCAAGCCAGTGATATAACGACCATTACTGTCGATTTTGGCGCCACTTCTCGAGAAAAACCACAGGTCACCCCATCTTGCGTTAGGGTTAAATGCCAATTCATCTTCCTTGGGACTGCGGCAGATTTGAGAGCAGTAAAGGAAATGTCCCATTCCATAAGCGGCAGAAACACATGTCGCCTCATTTATAGTTCTCAGCCATCGGTAAGTCCCAATATCCAATACGTTAAGGTCTTTAGTGGAGTCTCCAAATAGAAAGGCATGTTTCACAATTTGATCTCGATCAGCGGTCTCTAAAGAAGCATCTGTAATCAAATGCTAAGTATGGCGCTGGAGGGGTCAGCAAGGAGACGAAGCTCTTTCTCATCTCGGTCCCCAAATATAGAGACTTTTGCAAGAGTGGAATAATGAGGGTAATGGTCCAAAGATTGAGTACTATCCGAACCAAAATCACCCCATTAAAGAATTGGAACAGAAAGAAGCACAACTGCCAACGGGACAAATAGAAGTTAATCCAAAATTCGTTTCATGAACGAATGTCGACGAGCCTCGTCAAAACAAACGAGCTTCGTCAAAACAGACAAAATTCAACAGAAAGACGAGCCTCGTTTAATCAACAAGATTCGTCAAGTCAAACAAGCAGCGCTAGACAAGCGAACTTCGTCAAAATAATGAATAGCGTCAACCGTGCAACCATACGTCACAAAGACGAGGTTCATCAAACAGACGAAAACTGGTGTAATCAAAAGACATCATCTTTTCAGACGAAGTCTATCTCAAAGAGGAAAATTGTTCGTCTCCCTCAACCAAAAAAACTAGCAGAGTTTATTGGTTAAAAAAAAACGCAAATCATGCGTTCAGACAAATTACCTGGAAGAGCCGACGAAGCAGCATGTTCAGCTAAGGAATCGGCAGTTTTCTTGCCCTTGCCTTTACTAGGAGCAGTCTTCGGGGCCATCGAAGCAACTAAAAGATCAGAGCCTTCGAAGAAAGGAGAAAAAGTTGAAACGTGGAGAGAGAAAAAGCTCTGACGACTTGAAGAAAATGCAAAGAATAAGAGACATTTCAAGTCTCTTTGCCCTATATATAGAAGTGGGAAAGTTCAAAACGGCCAAGATTTGCAGCCAAATTTGCTGACGCGATCTCCTGCAAAGAAGATTTGCGGACGAGATCCACGACAAAGATCTCGAGGTGCCACCTGGCAGCCTTTCATCAAGTTTGGAAAAGGCGCATAGCATTAAATTCTGATTGTGCCTTAAGCCGTCAGATCAGCATGGACCTGACAAAGTTGGTGCAGAACAATGGGACTCGACGAAGACAAAACCTAGCCTCGTCTTGTAGCACCTAGAAACGACAAAATGTGATGTTCGTCTTCCAAATGACGAAACGAAGTTCATCTAAACTAAATAGACTACACCCACAGCAGCTGAAAGTGTTCAAAGTATTTCAAACCCCATACAATCCGATTTGGGTCTGAAAAGTTTAAAGGGGATCTTATAGGCACTCAAAAATTACCAAGAGGCAGGCAAGGGTTGCAACTCATTATAACGGACCTCGTTAGCCAAGACGAACGTTGAAGCTCAGTTGAAATTCAGATTTGAACTCATAGAA